TTTTTTGGGAGTTCAGTAGACCACCTAATTTATTTAGAGTGTATGTTTCCTCGTAAGTATTTTCTTTTCGCAGAAGAGTTATATAACTGAACAGACAAAGAGGAGGGCATAATTATCGAAAACTATCCTGTCGATCTTAAGAATAAGTCTTTTATAAATTTATTTTGCTTTATATGAGAATAAGAGAACTCACGTACATTTTGTCTTTCCGATTTATCTTCTAATATATCAACATCTGTGTCAGTTTGTGTGTGGCTTGAAACAAGGAGATCGGTAGTCGGCGACACTAGATTTATCAGCTGATGATATGAGAGATAGTTGCTCTCCTGATTAATATTATTTGTAGAATCAGTGGTTTGACGAAGTTGGCTCGATGGCATATCCAACTCAAGCATATGTACAGTTGAAACAGAATCAATCGGTGTTTCAGAGATTATATTTCGACTAGATACATCTTCAAAGTTGCCTTCTCTACAATATAAAAATGATAAAATAAAATACGAATATGGTAATGTCAAGTACACGCTATAATCATCCATATTTATTTTCACTTTCTTACTTTTTATAAATAAGATTCCATAATAAATTGATTACGATTACAGTGTAAAAATATTTACATTAAACGTGTGTCTTGCATGCTCCTCGATTGATATTGATTTATTTTATACTTCTAGTATGTTAGTTGTCTACATTAAACGCTGATCATAGGCTCAAACAAGAAAATATCAAAGAAAATAAAAGTATCACACATTTTCTGAGTTGTCATAGAAGAACAAATGAATTTGTATTTTGGATAACAACTAAGCGTGACAACAAGTTTTCAACTGTTCAATAGAAGTAAGTGTAGAAAATGCCGTTTCATTCTAACAAATTCAGTATACTTTGTTTTCTAAGTATAATATTCTGTTTTTGAAGTAAAACGCGAGTGTAAGCGCACACTTAAGAAAGGTTCGATGAGACTACCAAATATTTTTCAGGATATTTCAGCAATACAGAAATGAGATAATGGAGTTCTTTAGACTAGCAATTCTTATCCTAGTTAAAAACGCTCAACTTATTCTTGTCTATTTCACTTACTCTAGTAATTCATATAACATCTGATCATTATTTTCTTCATCGTTATTTTGATTTCTGTCTGTTAACCAGCTGTAGACAGATGATGTGGCCGATCGAGTGGGTAATACATTCAAAGACCACTCACATGGAACAACCGGTATGGTACAATTCATATTTGTTGACGACATGGTTTGATCTAAGTTAGAATCAGAATACAATTTATAAAAATCGAAAAGTAACAGGTTCATTTAGTATTTATCATTTTGTCGGTTTTTCAAAGTGTAGTTTTTGTTCTATGAACATCTCATTCTTCCGTCAAGCAGGATTATTTTCAACTACATTTAATTTCAACACTGGTCTTGAGATATTTTTAATAAATTCACTTTGACATGCTCTCTCATTCTCTTATTTGCTCTTTACTTTAGTATTCAAATTATTCAACCATGAAATCACATAATAAGTGGTCAGAATCAAAAAGATCAACTCACTCAAATAAAGCTATATAGATATATTTGTCGTGCCATAGTTAGTTTCAGTGATATAATAAATAAGAACGGACAAGCGGTCAAAATTATTTTTCGAAATATACCCTTGAAATGAATTATTAGCTTTGAAGATGTGGGTGTGGCTATCTCTTCTTCCTTTGCACTCACATATATATCCACATTCTGAAGATATATTTTTCTCTCGAATACTTGCACATTTTTCAAAATACTTTAAAAATAAATTTTGTTCTTTATTCTAGTGAGTAAATAATTCATTTCAAGGGTATACTTCAAAGTTAGAATTTTAGCACGACATGCAAATATGAAACCACATACTGTTTGATAAATTGTGTCTGGTGCTCCTTCGTGTTTGTACTGTAGTTGTATCTATATGATTGTTATCTAAAATATGGATAATAGTGACAAATATTACAACCAACAGAATGATGAACCTGTGAAAACTGATGTTTCATCGTTGGCAGTAGTCTGTAGATACGAAGTAATGTATTTTTGTATTAATTCTTGCTTAAATAAGGCAACATCAATTGTATCGACTACACAATTTTGCTCAACATGGCATTGACATGGTAGAAGAGAAATAGTTGCATGACCATCTTCGATCCAACTAGGCAAAGCAAAACTGATTGATTCACTCCAACTGGTGTCTTCTGAGTAACTTTGTGTTAAAGTTCCAGCTGATAAAACAATGAATTCATTTGGATGTTGAATGATTCGATGGTAACGAATGCAATTTTTATCCAATACCGAGGGATCAATAAATAATTGTCCATGATCCAGACAAATAGATAGATTTTGTTGCTCAATTAAATTTTGTAGAGCTTCTCGCTGATTAGATGGAATGATATACCAATGATGATCACCACCTTCATGATGATAATCAATGGAAAAAAGGTGTTGTCGAGCGGACATCAATGGAAAAATGGCACCTGGTCCTTGTGCTCTTTTCACACATGGAACAAATTGATTTGTTAATTTTCTTCCACCTAATTTAAGAAGTGATTGATTAGGTATACGATGAAGATCAAAGTATGTAGAAGATGTTCTTTGAATGAAGAAACTCGTGTTAGATGAAAGTGAGGTATTTAAACCTTGTTGTTCGTTATTTGATGAAGATAGTGACGACCAGAAAGTATTTTCATCTGTTTTTCCAAAATATTTTTGAGAAGATTTATTAATATGATCAATTGTTTGCACAGAATAAATATTAATATGATCAATTGTTTGCACAGAATAAATATTAATATTTTCATTGATTTTGATAATTTTTTTCATAATTGGATTTAACGGAAGATTTTTTGGTCGTTTCTTCAAAGCTAATTTACAATCAATATTTGCTTGAACTTTAATTGCACCAAAGTCTTTTAAAAGTTTTTCATGTTTGTAAATAAAACGAAGAAAATTTTGTAAATCGTTTCCATTAATTTGTAAAGTTGGAATATCGATTAAAACTGATGACATTGTTAATCTAAAGAATTTGTTTTTAAAATAAATCTATTTCGATTTTTTTATTAATCTAAACATAAAACAATTGATTTAATGTTTTATCATAAACAAATGTCGAGAATATATTTCTAATGTTATAAAAACAAATATATTTTCAGTATCTTAAGTAATATAATATCTATCCATCTATCATAGAAATATAAGTCTAAACAACGCAGTAATAGATGGAAATATTTAAAAATAACATTTGTATTTTAACCTTGTGACTGCATAGATCTTTTTGTCTTTTGTTCATTAAATTAAACTCGAATTATTTGTGACAGGGACATACGCATCATAAGAGTGTACAAATAAACATGCTATCGTTTTGATCATACAAAAGAAGATTTGAAAGAGTCTTCTGTCATATGATTAGGAAAAGAGATTAGTTTTTCTTTACAAAAACATTTGAGATATCACTGTTAAAACGAGATTGAAAAATTTTGTTAAAATTCGCTGATAAACAAATTCCATTGATAGGAATTGAACTACTTATCAATTTCAGCTAATGAAAGACAAAGCTGAATTGAATTTTTCATTGATGTAATCCTACAATGTCTAGATACCTTTAAGTACTTCGAATGTTTTTTTATGATTTAATATAAATTTAATAAAATAATTTAAACAATGAAAAGGAGTAAAGATAAAGATTATTTCGAATTACAAAAAGAATTTCACAATTAATTAGTATATATGTATTAAAGAAACTACTTAATGAATATAGAAGGATTTTATTCAATAAAGTTTTTTCAAATAAATATTGATTGGAGGCTGAAATGAGAAATGTGGATAAAATTCAAAATTTTCTTTTATTAAAGAAATTTTTAATAATATAAGTGATTAGAAAGTCGAATTTGAATTTATTTCTACTAATAGTTCAAGATTATACAGAAAATGTTTTCCAGTTCGATCATCTTAAAAGTCAATATTCAGATTTTTCAAATGAGAATAATTAGAGTATTTTATTCTTAAAATTTCCAAATATAAAATAAAATGTCAAATAGAAAAAATTTGTTTCTCTCGAAATATTTAAATAGTTATTTAAGAAATAAGATTTAGTTAAAATAATCAAATTCTTCTTTACCTTATTTTCTATTGATATCAATTTGAATAGAAACGTTTATTTATAAGAATAAACTTAACTTTCTTCTTCGTTGCTCAAATATCACAATATAGATATTTCATTTTTTTCAGTTGTTACTCGAAATCGTAAGATAATACTAGGAAATGAGTCGCTAGATAAAGGTCGTTTTATTTACATATTTGAAAATATTCTAAGAGACGTTTTTTTCATCTGGTTGCGTTTTTTTATGTTGTTCGTAACGACAAAAAATTATTTCTAAAGCTTACATTTATCGTTTTTTCTCGTTCTGTTAAACAACCATCTATAAGGCCGCTCTTCCTTACGTTTATATTTTAATATCGTCGTTAATTGCTCTTACTAAAAATCGCATGTAATTAAGAAAACCAATGAGCCAAGACGGGTAGGTAAGCCATGAAAAGAAAAGAGAAAAACAATGTTATTCTTATCGATTTTATTCGGAAGAAAAATCAGTTCAATTTTGAAATACAATTAGAATCTTTATTTATTTATTTTTCAATTTTGAACATAATATCTTAGATTTTTTAGATTATTTCAATTTCTGATGATTTCTTCATTGACATCATTTTTTCTTATTATCAAAATCATCTGCAATTCAGATATCTATTACAAATGATTGGTAATTTTATAACTTAGTTTGAGATTTTTTAACTTTGAGAAAAATAAAATAATAAATGTGAGATATTTCTTGAGCTAAAACTGATTTAATAAATGATACAGCAAAGAAATCTTCACCTTATATTTTAATGATTGTTAAATGAATATCAAATAAAAACAGATAATAATGGTTATTTATTTCATATTTTTATTCTAAACGCTTGTTTATCTAACTTTTATAATACAAAAACAAGTGTGAGTAAAGATAAATGAGAGTATGATGGATATAAAAGGATCTATTTTAGTAGCAAATCCATCTTTTTCATTTGAAACCCATAATTTGTAGAATTTCTTTTTTTCTTTCGAAATGACATTAATATTGATTTTATCTGTACACACAAGTCGCCCTTTACATATTGTATAGAAATAAAAAATGATTATTTATTTTTAATATATACTTTAAGAAAATAATTCTAATTAATTATTTGTTGATAGATTATATCTACCGACAATCCTTCAGCTCCTATTCTGTTGAATAAAAAATAACTTCGACGTATAATGATACAAGCGATAAAAGACAATGAAAAAGTTATTCAAATTTTTACGTAAATAAAATAAATAAAAAAAACATTAGTGTTACACGATATATTACGCAAGATTTTTTTAATTTATAATTCTCTTAAGATATTACAGATTGAGCTGAAACATTAATCATTCTATTCAACTATGGTTCATATTATCACCATTAGAAATTAAATTCTATTATAAAAATCTCCGACGAGTTTCATAGTTATATCCTATGTCATGAAAATCGTGTTTATCCATCGGTTTTAGTAATCATTTATGAACTCTAAACTAATTATTTAGGAATTTATAAATTGAAGAGTGAAATATAATTTTTATACCGTTTTCAAATATAATCACAGACGTTTAAAACAGAAAAAGAGATTAGTTTTGCCATGAATGTGACTACTATGACATGAATGACGTTGAATAATTTCAAAAATGAGCGTACTGTAAGCCTCGTCACCATAATCATTCGTTTCAAAACGTTTCTTTGCGACAAGGTGTAGTTTATTTTAGATGATTTTGTACTAATCTACAACTCTAATTCTCACTTATATTTTTTTCATTCTTTTGTCGAGATTTTTAATAAATAAGCGATGATAAACACGCATAGTAGCCTTTCAGAAATAAATAAATACAAATCATCGATTTTAAAGAAAATTTTCATCATTATATCAAATTGTATATAGAGTTATTATTTGTCCATTTTATTACATTATTTCTATCGAGAAATGAATGTGAACGTTCAATTTTATAATAAAAATATTGATCAATTGATTAAATTAGTAATAAGATTTTCTAAATTTAATAGGAAAATAAAAGTTCATGTGTAAATACTCTCACAGTTTACCGTTAAAAATGAAGAAGAAAATTATTGACGATTAATTACTGATTATGAGTACATGGAATAACTCCTACAACTAATGTCAATTGTAATTAACAGAAAAAGTTCTTATTAGACAAATAAGATTAAAGATTAAGATTAAAAATCTGATAAAAAAATTCAGCATTAGATGTGTTGTGTTGTGTACTAATTAATATGATTTAATCTCAAATTTTTAAAAAAATTTCTCGTATGTTGGATAATTTAATAGTAATAATCAGAAAAGACGAAACATTTTTTCCTTTAATATAATATTGTACAATGTATTAGCAATTAGATAAAAAGATTTTCATAAAACAATATAAGAATTTTTTAATTCATCCGTATATAGATTTCGATAGAAATTTTTAATTCAGAGTTGTTACATAAAAATGTTTTCTTACTGTAAAATATCTATTCAGTCCATTTAACTTTTTTAGTATTATTATTTTATGTTAAAAGAAAATAATATAAACCGATTCTTTTTAATGAAAATCTTACTAAAAAAGTATATAAATCTTCAAAAATCAATAGAAAAAAAGAATTTTCGCTTGAAAACAATCGGTTATAACGTATTTATATAATAACAAAATATTTCTATAGAGAAACATTCATTTTCATATTCTTCATTTCTTCAACGATAGTTAATTGTATCCCTCATACTTTTCTTCGTTGTCCAAATAACGATATTTGTAACGAAATGTTTTTTTTCTTACGTTCTTTATTAGTCATCATTTTTCTTATCCTTGATAAATCTATTCAGAAATAATTACATAAAACGAATAATAAATATTTTCATATTTTCAGTATTGTTATCAAGAGGAATTATGTTTAAATGGAAATATCGAAGAAGAACAATCGAAAAAACTTTTCGTCCAAGATTTAATATTGTTATTGTGTTTTTCTCAAGGGGGAAAAGCGAGACTTCAAGAATGCGTACTTTACTGGTACTTCATTTATACATCATCGGTACTTCACTCATACTTCACTCTACTTGAGGGTGTGGGTGTGGGTGTGGGTGGTGTGGGTGGGTGTGAGGGTGTGGATGCTGTCTCTGAATAAGGTTATACCAACGCCCACACCCACACCCACACCCACACCCTACTATTTATTTAGATGACTTTTTACGGCAATACAGTATTTAGTTTATTTCGAAAATAATTTAAATTCAAAGGTGTATTTACGGTTAGTAGTTTGTTAATGAAATTTGAAATAGATATGATAATCAACTACACCAAAGATGAGATCTAAAAAATATCACAATTAAGAATAAACCCAGAAGAAATCGCCACGTCAGAAAGTGTTCTGGAAAAATAAGGAAATTTGGAACTTTTCCTGAGATCTAGTAACCTTGAATCAAACATACATATCCGTATCCTTTCTTGCTGGTGTTGTATTATCTCTGAATTGACGAAATGCCATCCCTTTTTTATTTTATTCGTTTCTGTTGTAATATTCTTTTATTTATACAAAACTTCATTTCTCCATATTAAAGCTGCTACTGCCCGTCTCATGGAGACAAAATTTTAGTTTAACCTTATGTCTACAACAACATATAATATTTACCTTGAGCTTTCAAAAAATCATCGTTTCATAAACAAAACAAGTAAAAAATAGCTTTCAGAATCCATCAGAATAAAGTGGATTTCATATGACATAATGAACTCCTTTTTATCCATAGTGATCCAGAAGAGTTCTAAACAAAAATAAATCAAAACTAATGGCTTTCGAAATACTAAAATTTTGAGTCACCAAAATTCCCGAAGACTTCGCTGAAAGGTTGTAAAAAAATTATGTTCTATCAAACTAGTTAACTAAGTTCAAAAACGAAAACTTTTTAACAATTGGTTTGAGTAATCGTCTCGTGGGACTACTCGTAAAGATTCTATGAATTCTTTTTGATTGTAATCGATTATATTGACTGAAAAAATCGATGAAAAGGTGTATCCATATAATTCATTTCATTGGATTTTTTTACATGGATAAATTTATTTCGTCGTCGCTTTTTTCAACCACTAAATGTTATTTTGATTTTTGATTGAAATGACAAAGAAAATGTATTCATTAAATTCTCTGTATTTTATATAAATATCTTTTACCATGATCTTATAATCTCCTATAAGCTATCGATCTTGGATGCCATAAAATGCGCTCGAATTTCACTCCGTGATCATCTGTTTTGACGTCATAGTTAATAAAGAACAAAACTAATATAGTTTCTAATCAAACTCTTTTCTTGTAATAATTAAGCAAATTCAGTATTTATCTCCATTAGTTGGATGATTAGTATATATTGATCGTTTATAAAAAAAGATTAATGAATAAATAGATATTCGACAAAAATATAAGATTAGCTTTATATCAAATAAATTCATAGAAGTGAAAACAACATGTGTTTAAAAATTGAATTACTCATCTGGAAAATCACCTGTCTAGGATAAACAAATTCTCGATAAAAGAAATTACTTTACAAAGATTGATTTCCGCTATGATGGTTCTTAATTTATCTATGTACATATCCTATAAGGAAAAGATCATCTTTATTCCAGTCAAGTGATCTTTTACGTAAATCTCGCTTAATAGATATTACGTATGCTTCTCTATTTCTCTTTGATTCTGTGTTCATGATGTTTATTACTATGTTTTGTTCTCACTATTAGTTGATGAAGACAAGAGTCTGTCTTCCACCCGGCGGCAAAATTAATCTAGGCCAGTGTTATTCGAACAAGTAATTTGTTTATCTCATTTATAGAGTTGCTTTTTCTATGATTATATTTTTATGCAATCAGAACAGACACATTACAATATATATATATATTCGATGGCATTTACATTTTATTTTATGATTTTAGATGATAAATGCGTAGAACACAGAAAAAGACAAAATTTTGTTTAAATCAAATTGACCAACTTCATTGTCTTACGTAAGATAGACAGAGAGAGAGAGAGAGAGATAGAAAAAAAATAATCGTGACTATACATGTTGATTATCTAATAATTTTTTCAACCTCCCGCAAAGAATGTTAGTCTTTTCAATATTTTATGTCTAGTAAGTAAAAACAAATGAACATTGATAGAGTTTGTTCAGACACTGATCTTTTATACATATATCAGTTCTCATGCTGGCTTGTTGTTTGCTTCTTTAATTGCAAAATTGTGTGTGTATGCGCCTTGTGTATCAATGATGATTTGATGGCCGAATGATATCGTATGTCGATAGTTATGTGAGGGACGAAGAAAGAGAAAAGAACGATCATGAAGAATAGACATAAGAAAGAGAAGAAAAGAATAACGAAGACAAACCATCACCTTTTTTTTTAGGGTGACTTTTTTGTGCGTAAGATATTTACTTTTTTTCTCTTTCGATTTTTTTTCTATCTTCTTCATTTATTGTCTTTATCTGTTCTGTTCTTTATCAATCAAACTACCGTGGTATATTTTCCTCTACCTGTATCGAACGATAACGTTTCGGTTCATAGCACTTATTTTTAAATACTACTCAAGTTTCTTCTTTTTTTTTTCATACCGCGACAAAGGAAATAAATGTTATACAAGTAAAATCATAATGTCATTGATTTTTTCCTTGATTTGTATTGATGAAACAATACTCATCATTTATCTACTCATATACAAACAAGCACAAATATGATAGAAAGATAAGAACTAGAAAATAAAACCTTACTAATGAAGCTGATTTAACGGCACGTCGACAGGTGAGCGGATTAATTATATAGGATTGTCTGGTGAGATTTTTTGATTACATGTATTAATTCCATTTTTTCCTGATAAGAAGAAAGTAGAAAATAAAGATATATGTACACACATGTATGAATGATCTTATTTGTTACGTGTTGACACATTTCATCAAAAAATATATATATAGATGATAGAAAGCAGCTTTCATCACATGTGTACATCAGATTATTACACAATCGAACATTCCTTATATTGAAATATAGGCAAAAGATCGATGACCATTAACATTTGCCTGTCACGAAAAAAGAGCATAATAATAATAATAATAATAATAATGACTTGTTACTCTTTTATAGATGCAAATTGGTAAAAATAGTAATAATAGAGAAGCAATATGATGGTGTTCTCTTTCTTTTGCATCTTCTAATCGGTTTTTTTTCTTTTTTTTAAGTGGAGTGACACTTTGAACTAACCTATTCATTTTTTTTAACTTCTTTTTTTTTCATACTTCTCTATTCAAGTTGAACAGATCAGAAGGTTAAGAATGCTTATTTGTTTGAGTTTATATGTGCATATGTTCTACGTAAACGAGGAGAGCGTCATCATTGTGTCTTACTCCAGGGTGCGTTGTTGAGAAAAAAAAGCAAGAATAATTGCGCTCTCGTATATGCCCTTGAATACAATGAGACGACGACGACGACGACTACGATGATGATGATGATGATGAAAGTACATGCGATTGCAATATAGAAGCCACTAAAGAGAGTATGAAAGTCTGTTTATTAGAGTACAAACATCTTTAATCATGTTCAGTTAAGTGATCGTACTTTCTTTGACGTATGTTTAGGCGCCTGTGTGAATAATAATCTATCAACAACAATCAATTGAATAGATAACAGCTGTAGTTAACTTCTGTTCGAGAACAGATTATCAGTTGATCAAAAGCACCGATTAACTGAGAAAAGATGGAATTGTCTGTATTGATCAAGAACGGATGCGATTTTCTGTCAATAATTATCTTTTTCTATTTTATTTATATATATATCTATAGATTAGAATTTTTTCAAGGATTTTTTTTTCTTAACCTTCACTAGTGTTAAACTTGCGTGTCTACTTATGCATGTTTATAATTGTGCTGAAACATCTCATGACAAGTAACCATACCATAAACATTCATTTATTCATTCATTCCACCTTTCGTCATTCTTCTTTTTTTTCTTATAAGTATACATTTCAAGTGACGAGAGAGAGAGAATAAATGAGAGGTAAGCGAGTTTTAAATGTTAGTGTTTATTTACAATGACAGTAACAGTTATAAGATTTGATTACTTTTTCGATCGAAGCCAAAATCGATTGTTAAAGACAGACTGTTATTTATGGCTTTAACTATAACTAAAAATGTAAGTTATTAATGTGTATTTTCGATCTAATTTTTTTTTCTTTACTAGTTGTCCTATCATATTTGTTATTTTTCTGATCAAACATAATTTTCAGTTAGTTCTATAAACATATGAAGGTTAGATAATTAGACAGTCTTAGATAAAGAGAAAAATATCTCATATTTCGTCCAATATCCATGAAGTATACTAATTCCAGATTGTTACCAGATTCTAGTGACATTTTTTATAACGAAGATAAATAGACAGAATTATTGCGCCCACCTTCTGCTTGATCAATTGATAAACAGCAGTAGACAAAAATAATCATTTGCAGTCTTTACAAGGAGAATAGAATAAGATTTGATTAATATTAATAACCTACAAGGACAATTAGATTGAATTATATATAGAGCAAATGTCACAATGAATTAACCTGGCTCTTTCTTTTTTCAGATAATGATTATTTTACAAAAAATATTTTTACCTCTTTTCTTCATCAGTATTATTCAAATTGTTGTACATGCAAAATGTAAGGAAAAACCTTCTTTCTTCTTTTAATTGTAAATTATATGTATTTAATTTGATAAATAGCAATAGATTTGAATGATAATGATGATGCTTATTATGATGGTGATCAACAAGATCCAGTTCAAGTTGATCTATTTCAAACAATCGATTGTTCAATGCAATGTTCACCACATTGGACTGAACCTGTTATACAACAAAAACAAACATTAGTTTATCCGACATCTGCATCGGTTTCATTGAGATGTCCATATGAAGCTAAACCAAAAGGAAAACTTACATGGTATAAAGATGGACAAATATTTCGACCAGAATTATATGAATTGGTAAAAGAATTTAATCCAAAAAAAATGTATTCTATGTAATATAATTTTTGTTTAGTTTTCAATTGATAATCAATATTTAAATATTTCTAAAGCAACAATGTATGAAGCAGGATTGTATACATGTATTATTGAAAATAGTTTGGGAAATTTAAGTCGATCATTTCAATTAATTATTCAAGGACGTAGTCTTGATCGACCAGTATTTATATCAAAATCAACAAATTTAACACAATATGAAGGTGATAATATAACATTTGAATGTTTATTTTATTCGGATTCAAGTCCATTTGTTCAATGGTTTGTTCAAAGACGATCAATAAAAAATATCAATACAACAGATCAACAAAATGAATTAGAATTTCTTAAGGTAATTAAAAACAAAAAAAGGCGATCTTTTATAAGTTATTGAAATCAAAATCAAATCTCTACATATCATAAAAATCAAAATCTATCTATCTATAGTTTTCTAATGGATCAAGATTTAGTGTAGGAAAACGACAGGTAACATTAAATATAAAAATCAGCAGTTTTGTTTTGTGTGTATGTGCTTTTACAAATTTTTGTTATTATTTGATAATGTCTATTGCATGCTTTCGTTAAATTAAATGCAAAACGAAATTATATTTTCCTGAAGGTTATCATTATCGTATCAATTGATATTTATTGTTGCTAAAGTATTTGAATTTGTGTTTGTGATCAATGTATATAAGCCTGCTTTTTATGATTGATATTTTTTTGTTTTGTACTCGATAAATATATATGTATTACTTATAGGAATATAATCCACATACGATGTCAGAAGATGAAGTTAAATTATTAACTATTAAACATTTACAACGAAGTGATACAGGTACTTATCTATGTCGTGTCTTAAATGAATATGGTTATTCTGATTTACTCCATTATCTTAATGTTTTACCTGGTAAACAAAATAATTTTCTTTCTTTTTTTAATATAACATATTTTCTTTTTTTTTAAAGCATCTGAACGACCTTCATTATTAAAAAGTATTTCGACGAATAAACGTCATCATATATATAATCGATTTCCTGATGAAATTATAATAATAATCGTTTGTCTTATTGGTGTATTATTATTTGCATTTATATTTTTTCTTATTTACCATTTTCGTAACGAAAAAGGTTTACGACAGACTTTATTAGCAACACGTATATTAGCTACACGGGGTATTAATAATTTAAAAACTGTAAGTTTCTCCTATGATTTAAATTAAATGAAAATATTTTCTATAATAGAATCAACTTTATCGAAGTGATATTGATCCAAAAACAAAACGATCTTTAATGGATGATGGTTGTCGTCGATTTCCAACTGAAGGAACAATATCAACAATTATTTCATCCTATTATGATGATCAATGTGAATTTCTTCGAGACAAGTAAAATAAATATATAAATTTTTTTCTTAATTAATATAAATATATATATGTTAGTTTACATGTTGGTCATTTAATTGGTAAAGGAGCATTTGGTTTTGTTTATCAAGGTATAGCAAAAGGTATTAATTCAAAAGAAAAAGCAACAACAGTAGCAATTAAAACTGTTCGAGGTTAGTTTTTATACTATAAAAAAATTTAACAACATTTCAATTGTTTGCAGATGATGCTACATCAGAAGAAATTGAAAATTTACTTAAAGAATTATCAGTCATGAAAATGGTTGGTAAACATATTAATATTATATCATTACTTGGTTGTTGTACAAAAGGAGGTAATACAATCGATACGTATATAATTGTTTAATATTTTGAGTAGGTCAAGTAATGTTAATTGTTGAATATGCTAAATATGGTAATTTACGTGATT